GGAAACCAGACTGCTCCTCAATATCCAAACACCTGCCTGGAAAAAACTTTTCACTATCCAGCGCTGGCCAAAAAGCTCCTTGCAGCCCGTTAAAACACAGCTCAGGACTTCACAAACTCCAATTCTCTCGAGGACTTTCCTAACAGATGCGAATGAGGCAAATGAATTAAACAATTTAGCTAATTATTTCCAGAAAAACCTCTATAGTACTCAAGGGTCAAAATACTTTTAAATCAAGCAAATGGCACGTGACAAGGTTTACAAAACTGCCTCCAAGAATTAGAGGCTCAAACTCACTCAAAGTCAGGGGATTAAGGGTAGAGGGTTCCTCACCACGTTTATGACAAGCTCGTTCCTGACCAACCAGATGAACAGAGCAACGCTTTGAAGACACCATAGCCCAAGACTAGTCAGCAAGAACTTAACGCCAATAYAGCGGAGTCTCCTTCCGGCTGTGGAGACCTTTCTTCCAGCTTTTCCATGGAAATAGGCCCTCGCATGACCCTGCTGGGAGCAGCTGCCTGCAGGCCCTTCCTGAGGCAGCTCCTAGRCAGGTTTCTCCTGTCCATGTTCACAATGAGTTCAGATCTGGTGCACGTTGACCCGACACGGGTTCCCTGAGCGGTCCGTAGGAGGTCACTCCACCAACACAAGCCCTTCTGTGTCAATCCAGATCATGCCTGCAAGAAACATCAGCCAACCAGACAACATCAACAGGTGATAACTCTGGCTCCTTGAGGACCATCTACCAACACCTCATCCCAGGCATGAATTTCCTCCATTTCCTGCTTTTAGAGAAGGTCTCCCGGTAACAGAAAGATCTCCTGGTAACAAATGCTTAGGAAGAGCAAGATGACATTTTTAATAACGCGCCGGGTGCAAATCTCATACAAGCAGAGCTCTGCTTGTTATTGAGAGAGGTTTTTCCTGCAGCCCAACCCGTACAGTGCACAGCTCCCTGAGAGCTGCTGCTGAGCATTTGACCTGGAAAACTCGCAGGAAGGAAGGGAGCACCTGAGCTCAGCTCTGAGTCGTCTCCAACGTCTCCAGGAGTGTTTTATGATACCATTGGATGCCTTTAATCAAGCAGTTCATTACAGGCTGGCAGAAACTCCTTGTGGCTGTGAGATCACTCCCCACAAAGTTATTTCGCTCATAGCACTGCCATTTCCTTCCCAAGTTTGTAAGGTTGCCAGGCATCAACCTCCTGCATCTCCAGGTTCGGTGGTCTCCTGTCTAACTAGCTTTTCATTTCCTCAAGGTGACCATTTTTACAACGCTGCGTTTCCTTTCTGGATTATTTTTTTCATTTCCACTCCTAATCATTTCAGAAAAGCTGAATTATTTTCCTCAAGCCTTCCATCAACTGCTGAATTCCTAGCAGGATTTTTTGGGCAATATCTTCATTTTCTTTCCAAATGTTCTTTCCCTCAGGACGTTCTGGCCCAAGCTCACAGCAGTAACATGGCATTGCAGGGAACACCAGGATATTCCCTCATTGGCAGGTGTCCATTTTTGGTAAAAATCCTGATTTCCACTTCAACCTCTCTTCTTTTTAATGCATCACTGAACCATTTCCTTAAGCCACCTGGATTTGTTTCTTAGGATAGCACAGCAGCACGCAGCTATTTCATGACAATGTCACCAGCCACCAGGGCTCGCCAAAATTTACTCTTTTTTGTTGCTAAGACTCCTTGGTGCCTCCCAGCCATCCCCATCACTCACGTGCACCTATAGGCTAAATACCTCCAATAACAGCACACAGTGTCCTAGGCAAGGCTTGACATCTCCAAATTCCTCTGCAAAGCAACAACTTTCTCTGTGCTAACACTCTTCAATACTGCCTTGCCATGTTCTAGCAGGCAACCATGGGAAAGTCTTCCTCCTCCCGCTCCTGAAAAGCTTATAGAGTTTGAGTTTAGCATAATTTTGAATTAAAATTTGGCAAGTTGTGAATTTTGGACTGTAAATGCAGTTTGCATAAGCCCAAAGATTCTAGTCACTCTCTTCAGTGACGGGTCCTTCTGCCCCAGGCCCTTAAGCATTCACAAAAGTCCATCCAAACGTATAATGTAATAATCCCTTGTAATAATCCTATCTGGCTTCTTCCTCCTGTCACTATCAAGCTCATTTCTGCCCAGAGAAAATATAACTCAGCTTTGGAGCAGCGAATGCACAGCACAAAGCAAAGATTTTATTTCTGTTATCTTTGATACCAACCTCCACGGCCCATTAGCTTCCCATAGCAGCCTGGTAATGGTCTCCCTGARTTTGTGCCAAGGCACTTCTGCTTCCCCAACGTGCTGCTTGGCATTCCTTAGTGCTGCTTCCCTACTGTGACCACAGGAAGCAATTTCAAAACAAATACATTAATGATGATTTAACAAAACAATGCGAATTTTTTAAAATGTTAGTTATTTTTGCTGCATCGCTTTCATCGAATTCACTGCTATGTTTGTTGTTGGCTTAAAGCACAGATCTACAGATTCTCCTAAAACTTCATCTCTGCTCATATCTGTTCCAGTTTCCCCCTCTATCAATCTTTAAAGTAACTGAATGCACTGATTTAAGCAACACACATTGAGAAGCACCTTTTTTTTTCCACCCCTTTCCAGTTTAATGAAATATTGCAACTTGCCCGAACTTCTAAAATCCTAAATCCTAAAGCTGTAGATTTAACTTTTTTCAGAGAAGAGAGGAAAATGCAGCTTAATTGGCTCAGTTTTCTAAATACTCTCTGTAACTCATCAGTAAAATTTAAACCAATATGAGACCAAGTGGTTGCTCAAACAGTGGGACGTGCTCAGTCTTTAAAGCACAAACTTACCCCACAGGAATCTGCAAGAGGAAGCAGCTCAACTGAGGRCAGCAAATGGGCACAGAGCTCCCATTTTCAATCAGGAAATATCCTTTGCCATCCCACAGAGCAGTCCCTAAAATAACACATGCTTTTGGTGCATAAAGATGTCACTAATGAAAGAAAACAAAAAGCTGGGGGGTGGCGGAGGGGACAGGGGACAATGAATTAATGGGATTTCAAATGCTGAATGTTCAATGTTGAATTCTCTGAATGGGACAACGAAAATGCTTAAATTTAATGCAGGGGAAGCAGAAGAGACTCAAGTAAATGGTTTAAATAGCAATTAAAGAGCATTCTCAACACAAAAGAAGCTTGCAGAGCAATTCTGCTTCCAAACCAGCTAAAAGCAAAATATTCAGTAAGYACATATTCATTATGAGGATAAAAAGGTAAAGAGAATAAAGCTTTAGGATTTCGCAACATGTTGCATATAGTGCACTGCAGATGGTTTTTGCTGCGAATAGACAAGGAGCTTAAGTTCAGTCCTAATAAACTGTGTGTGAACAGTGCCAGAGCACAGTCATAATTTTGAGAAATACCTATTATTGCCAGTCTTGGCTACTACAGATAACTTGTATATATTACGAGACAGAATGCGTTCTGATTTTCATTTTCCTTCTAGGGTCTCACAAAAAATAGCATCGGGGGTAAAAGGTAGAGGAGATTTCAGAGGATTTGTTCAGCATATATTCTAGGTAAGGGCACTTTTATGGTGCACTTAAGTCCACCAAGAGCCAGTGCTCTCAGGTGTGCCTGCACCTGTGCAATATCCCTCCAAAATGCCAGTCCTGCTCTCCAGGAAAGCAGGCAAAGCTTTGCCTAGTATTTCAGTTTATCTTTGGATGTCAAACGTACCAGGAGAAGATTCAAGCATCAGTGACAAAGGAACCGACTACTTGAGGCAACATGAGCTGAGATGCTCACTGCAAATTCCCAGTGCACACTCTTTCTACCAGGTTACCAAACTGGTTTTCTCCATCTCTCCATACACACTRACTGCCAGCCCTTATAAACTGGAGAGAGTTGCCATGTTTGGCATCTTGGAAGGTTACATAGAGGCATCTCCTTCCCACAAAATGCTTCCCTCGTTGGAACACCTTTRATTATACCTTCATTTTTTTTCAGTCTTTCCAGTACTTTTTTCCTTGCACAATATGTCGAGCAGAGTTCAGCCCAGGAATTAACCTAATTCCTTCTCGTTTCCTTCTCGTTTGTTTTCCACGCAAACTCCTTGGCTTTCTAGGCAGCCAGAACAATCACGTTAGTCTCAATCCTGTTTGGGGCTGAACTGCTGGATATTTTGYTTTGACAATTATGTTGAACTTCATATGGATAGAACCAGCTCAATTATTAGTTATTTCTGTTTAATCTTCAACATCTTAAGAGAACCCATCAGCTATGAGTTGTCATTACTTTATCTTCATAGCCTGTCCTCCAAACCCTRCCACAGATGAAAGATGCGTAGCATTTTTTTCATTTGATTGTGTAGGGCCTGATAATGAAGATTTTTCATGTTTTTTTTTCCCTCTCTTTTCCATTTTTATAAGGAAAAAGGAAAGGAGAGGTAAAAGGAAAATGCTTTTGTAAGCTTACTTACTGTAGACCTGTGTTCCCCTTCTGGTGTCTCAACAGTCGGCACAAAAATAAGGTGACTAAAAATAAGAAAAATGCATTTCTTGCCATCCCTGTCACGATATACCCTCACACATAGTGCCARCGCTCCCAGATCAGCTCTCAGACTGCTAATGCCTAAGTTTTAGAGTACAACAATATATTGTTGGCTATCAAATACAATATATGTCCATATTTTTCTTTTATATGCAAAACAAAAATATGGACATATACTGAATTTGATTTGTTTTGCATATAATTTGTTTTGCATATAAAACTCTATTTGTGTTTTGCATATAAATCCCTACAAGCAAGCCAGGGCTATCTGCTTGTCATGGTTGCTTCTCAAGCAAGCAAATATATATTTTTTTAATCTTTCATAGCCAAGGAGGCTCTAGGGAATCCCTTTGCAATCACCTGCAATATCTGCACCTGCTATTAGCAAGGATGGGGCTGGAGGCATGAAACAAAGCACTGGAAGCCTGTGCTTGTGCAGGGTTTCTTGCCCCATGGCCCGGCGCCCACTCACCGTGGCCGAGAGCTGGGGCCCGTTGAGCTGCGCGTGCAGCACGGCGTCGTTGAGCGCGTTGCGGATCCCCGCGAGCGCTGCCTCCGGGCCGTGCGCGGCGCCCGCGGCGCCCGCCAGGTACTCCAGCGTGCCGATGAAGTCCCTCCAGGGCGCGTCCAGCTCCGCCACGCTGGCCAGGCAGCCGCGCATGACGTTGAGGCAGTAGCCGGCGCAGGGCCGGATGAGCGTGAGGCCCTGGCAGTGCGGGCAGTACTGCATGCGCACCAGCGCCCGGCTGCACTCCTTGGTCAGCGCCGCGTGCTCCGTCGTGTTGATCACCTCGATGCCCAGGCTCAGGGCCTGGCTCAGCAGCCGGCTGGCCCAAAGCGACTTGGACAGCTCCGTGACCAGGTTTTTGGAATAGCGGCCGAAGGGGTTGATGTCCTGCCGCGTGAGCCGCAGACACTCCGTGTAGTCCTCCGATAAATCGGTAATTCCCGGGTTTATTAGGCGGCTGTAGACCAGCGGAAAGAGGCTGTCGAAGAAGCGCCAGACGGCGCTTTCCACGGTGGTCTCCGCGCCCAGGATGTAGAGGGAGAGGTCTGTGAAGAGCTCCTTGACCGGCTCCGCGGCCTCCTTGGCCATGGGCCGGTAGGCGGCCTCGAAGAGGGAACTCGTGCGGTTCTCAGCGACGCGAAGCAAAGACTCGAAGGCCTCTGAAAGAAGGAGGGGAAGAAAGAGAAGGACATGAGAGGACATAAAAACAAACAGTTGGCATCTCAGCTCCTCAGACAGCCTCTACATCCATCCCAGAAATGGTCCTTRAGCAGGCAAAACTCTTTGAAGAACAAGTCCCACCTGTGAGGCAACACTGGGGTAACTGGTTACAATAGTGATCAATGAGTAACGAGTCCATAAGACACCATCCATGTCATGGCACCGGGTTGTAGAAGCAACATTATAACATCCACATTTAATAAAAGGGCACAACCCCTTATCCATTTTTCTTGTGAACTGTCCATAACATCCGCCAGCAAGAAGCACCCGTGCCTAAAAACACAGAGTAGATCTTATCTCAACACCAGCATCCCATCAGCTCAACACCAATCTCAACTCAGGAGCTGCACGGCTCTGCTACCACTGCTGCATTGATTTAATGAATGATTTAACAGTTTAATAGTTTATGGAAGCTATACCTCAACAGCATAATCACAGCTTAACGTTTTATTTACTTTCCACCCCAAACGCTCTCCTGCTATGAAATCTTGCAGGAAAGAAAATAAGGCATTCATGTCTTCCCACAGACTATCTGGAGATATAAACCACACACTTSTACAGATTCAGACAGCTGACAGGCAGAGCAAACATATACAGGCACGAAGGACCAGACAAAGCTGACGTACAAAACAGATAAGGCTGGAGAGCAGCTCCACGGGAGCTTGGAAGCGAGCACCACGTGCTGCTCTCGTCCTCCCRGGCCTTCATCGGAGGCCCTGACACCTCGGGGGGCATCTCTGTGCCCAGCACGGCCCGCTCTGCTCGAACCAAGGAAGGGCCTCCCGAAAAACAACGAGCCACGAGAGCCCGGGCTTGGCTGAACGCATCGAGCAGCCTTCAAGAAAGCAAGAGCAGAAGCAAGTGCTGAATCTCTCCAAACATCTGCCTGCATTTTAGGTTTAAGTGTAATCATGACAGAAGAATGACAAATTTAAGTAGCTCCATTATTTGTTTGGTCTCTTAGGACCACACTAATATTTGGCTCCTTTCCCTCCAACATCTTGCATTTATTACAAGTTACAAGATGACAGAAAGCTATAGTTTGTTGAACAATAGCTTCCTTCTAATACTTTCAAGTCCTTTGGACCTTCTGCATTTTTATGGTTTGCTAAAATATAGTACAGCAAGCTAATATTTTGCAGCAGTAGGACATAACTACATATTAACTGCAATTTGATGCAAAAAGAACGGTGTACACAGCAGAAATTCCCACCCATACGCACATCTAGACAACAGAAAGGATAAATGCTTCAGAATCCTGCTTTTCCRGATATGCCATAAACACTACAAACATTTACAAAATAAGAACAGAGTCCTTGAACAGCAAACAGTAACATAAGCAGATCTTTTTTTTTTTCGCCCCTGATCTTTTTAAGATTACTTTGCAAACAATGTAAGAATAAAATAAATGGTGTTACGTTTGCAAAGACAAAAGCTGAACTCCACAAAGGCCTTAAGTTAACTTTGAAAATATGCTCTTAAAACTCCCAGCTTCATTTCTATTTTGTGCTCTTTACCAGCAGCAAAGGATGTCCAAGAACGAAGGTGTCCTGACCTGTCCTGACCCATGACACTCGGAGCTCTGCTGATACTCTGCTTTTCCCACGTGTTTTTATTTCTAGACAGGCAGTCTTACTACAGATAACACAGCTGCTCTTCTTGAAGCTGATGAGAAATAATTAACATTGTAATAAACATAATTATATCAGCAGTCTCATAGAAATAAGACATCCATCACACAGAAAACAAACTCCAGGTTTGCTGCTAAATATTTTGGCCAGAGAAGAGCCTGTTTGCTGGAAACACCACCCCTCGCTTCTGCTGCCCTCCACAGCTGGTGCCCAGATGTGGGGTGGACAGGTCCTACCCCACTGAAACCACTACYACCAGCCTGCAGATTTGGGCAAAACCCAGCATTTCCCATGGTCACACTGCACTCAGCAGCAAAACTGTGCCATCTTTGCCAAGTTCGGCATCTTCTTCAAACACCAACTTGCCTAGAAATAAGATATTCCAATAAATGTAAATATTATCACAAACCTAAATATTCCTTTATAAAATAAATAGCTGTCCTGACTATCACATCGACTCCAGCAGCTTCAAGCCAATAAAGCTCTTACAATAAAAACAATAATAATAATACAAGTAGGTCAGCATGATTAAAGCAAAAGTTACAGCATGRCAAAGTCAGGCTTGGGAATTCAAACACCACTGCTGTTAATTGGCTTTTTGTGAATTAAAAGGTGGAAAGAAGAATCATCCACTTGGCTATCTGTCCATGGGCAAACAGCAGTTCCCTGATTTTTCCACAAACAAGTTCTCTGCAAGTTATTTACTTTCTAAGTATGGCATATACAGGAAAGTGTGAAGGACACACCTGCTTTGGGTTAGTTGGCCAGGGTTTGGTCCTGAGAGCATCAGCCACAGAAGTGATATCACCAAGTTGAAAACAGGCCTCATTGCTCTACAGGCTGGTGATGCAGACAGAAAAATCCAGGCACAAGCCAGGGATTGATGGTAACAACAACAGAAGGGTGCAGTGATCCACAGTGATGTCCTGCTCGGTGCACTCATCTTGCCATGCAATCAAATACATCCCAATTTCTGCAGTCTGCATGCTGGGGAATATACCCAAATTGCTGGAAACAGCAAGGCCAGCAGGCGCATCTGCCAGATCTAGCAGCAGCCTTGGTTTTGTCATTACAATAACGTCACAAAGTCGCAACGAGCCGCACRAGCACTCAGCGAAGACACCAGAGGAAGCTCTGTACAAGCTGTGCTCAAGCACCTCTGCCAGTCCCTGCGTCCTGGGAATCGTCCTACACAAAACACTGTATGGGAGAGTTTATAGAGAAACCTCCACCAAGTTGCTGTGTGTTGTAGTTTGCTCAGCTCACTCTGAAAAACTCACTATTTATTTCATCTTGCAGCACTTTGTGAACACAGTGACCAAGGCGGTCATTAAATTTAGCTGTTTATTATTTCTGCATACCACATTTCAACGTAATTGTGTATTATTTTTATATACTGCTATTACAGGCTGCAATTACTCGTTCTTTCTAAAGAGAGCAGTTTAGAGCAGAACTGGGTCTGCTGGGCAGCCCAAAGCTGCAGTCCAGATGTGGCATTAACCTTTTACGACATCCACGTGCTTCCGCTGCCAGGGAAATAAAGCAAATAGTTCCCTGGGAATATTTTGCAGTAGAAGGTTGATTGACTTCTAGTATCGGAGGGGTAAGATGATATAGATGAAGAGCAAAAGCCCTGAGGACTACGGCTAAAGTTTTTACAAAACCAGGGCTATTAATACTATTTTCCTCCCAGCAAAACAGAACTCAAAGACCATCCATATGATTCATATTTGCCCATTTTAAATCTGTTGGCTATTACTTAGGAATATCGGTCTGTGGTTTTAACAGCAGTGGGGCCAATGCAAAATAAAAACAGCAGCTGGGCCTCAGCARCATTTTCTATGCCTTTAATTTGCTTTCTAAAAAAACTTAGTTTAGAAAAATTACGATGTACCTTCAGCAAACTTGCCTGGGTTGCTCCCCTTTTGTCTGTGTCGACATCAGGATTTTTGCTCTTCACAGAACCACCTTGGAAACCCTCAGGAGGTCTGGCAGCCACCTGAGCTGGGGGGCAGACCGGTGTTGTCCGAGATATCCGATCGATCCCTCGGCCTGGACAGGGATGACTGGAAGCCCCAGCTACAGCGGGCGACTTGTGAATGATTCCTGTGCTCAATTACGGTGCTAAGCTTGAAAAATAACCTGCAGTGGCAGCTCTGTAACCATCAGCAGCTGTTTCAAGCTAAATCTGTCTAGTTCCTCAAATTAACAGTTTGATCGAAACGTTCTCCTGAACACAGTTTTGGCTACAGAACAATACGGCTTCTCCTTTGTTTTCCAGGCTAAGTCTCTGTGCACAGATGGACGGCGGTCTGAAGAAAACGTGTCAGTGTTTCTCCTTAAAGAATAAAACGGCCTTCCAGGACAAACAAACAGCTTAGAGGAAAGTTTGCTTAAAATTCAACCCTGCTCCGTCCCGTTACAGGATGAGCCAAAACCCCCGGTGCCTCTTAAAACAAGGTTCTTGCCATGTTTTCTTTGACACGTTGGAGTAATCCTGCAAAAATGGAGTTAGCTCCAAAGGACAAGCAGGCTGGTGCAGGGATCCAAGGTTAGCACGGAGCTAGGAAGGAGTCACGGAGGGCCCGAGCAAAGTGCTTGGCCCCCAGCTTGGCCTCTCCAGAAGAGATGCTCATTGTGCTGAGAACAAGCCAAGGGCCCAAGGCTTCACCTGCTTCTAWCCCACTTCTCAGCACAGAAAAGCTTGGCTGTTTTATACACTTTTCAATAACAAATACTCTCTAGAAGAGGGGACTGTGGGGTATCTTTGCCTGAAAAGACAAAAGGACACTCATGATAGCCTTATTTCAATCTTTAGGATTAAGTCTCTCCAGTAATTCCTTCCTACAGGCTGTTGGTGTAACATTTTATTTGGATTTTCCAATTTTATTACCAGTAGTTTTGGAGTGAGATATTTTGTGCATAACGTAGTTTACCAGACTGAAACAGCCTTGTAGGAGACTGTGTGTTCCCTACCTGCAGTCTGAGCGACTCAATTCCCCAACTCAGTGGGGTCGCTTATTGTAGGGGGACATAACTAGTGCACAAGGACAGCTGAGATGCTGCTGCTGGCCTGGAGGAGGGAGAACAGCCAGACCTGGAGCGGGTGGAAGCTGTGCCAGGTACCAGCAGCAGARAGCAGGAGAGCAAACCCTGCACGGTCTGATCTGTGCTAATGGGGGCCCACTGAGCACCACGGCTGTTACCTCCAAAYGAGAAAAGCAGCAAATGCACCATGTCTGTAGAGGCCAGAGGGGCTGCACATCTCCACGAGAGTGAGGAAACTCTCCTCATCCTGCCTCCGACAC